GCACCTAGGAGCCCTAGTCATGGACCAGGCTCTCCTGGCGCTGGGTGCTGTACATTATTTATTAGATGTATTACAGTGGCACGTAGGAGCCTCCAACGTGGCCCAGGACCCTGTTGTGGCAGGTGCTGCACAAACACAGAACAACCAGCTGGTCCCTGCCCCAAAGAGCTGACAGTCTAATCTCAGCATCCAGCCTGAATTTCTTCCCCGCCCACGGCCCTCTGTGCCCTGGGTGATCCTCAGCACCACCTCAAAGCAGCATCAGATCCGGGGAAGAGCAAGAAACAGCCCGGCAAACACCCCAGCATGGTGGTGGTTCCCAAGTCTTGATGCTCTTCCTGCGGAATACCAGTACTTTCCACTGATGTCATCCCCTGGGGGCGAATTGGGCCCCCTGTTTGCCAATTGGACTTGGCCACCTCCTAGCCTCCTCTCTCTCCGCAGAGCTGTAGAATGGCAGGGGCCATACGGTACTATGGCAATCGCAGGCAGCCCAGCCACTTACGCCAAAGTGGCCACTGAGCTTGGGTGCCTGACTTGTGACTGCTTGGGGCCTGATTTCCCAGGGGCTGAGCACCCCCCGCCTCTCCCCTTGACTCTGATGGGAACTGCTAGGAGCTCAGCACCGACGGGAACCAGCCCCTGGTGTCCCAAGTCAGGCGCTCCCAAAAATGGAGGTCACCAAGATCAGTGGCATTTTGGAAAATGTTGGCCTTTCAGCCTTGCCTCGGGAGCTCTGGCTGTCCAGTGCTCTCAAAGGCTCCCCTTTGCATTCCCCAGCGAGAACCCCCACAGCCAGTTTGGGAAATGCGGAATGAGCAGGGCCAGTGCATGGGGGAAAGCCCAGATTCCTCTGCAGCCAGAAGCTGAGCATCTGGGCCAATGTACCCCTGAGTACCCAGCACTTGGGAGCTTGGTACAGCCCCAGTGGGACTTACATTCCCTTCAGGGCCCTTCAGAGGAAAATGTTGTGGGAGAAGATGAACAGAGACTCAATCGTCTGCAGCGCTTCTGGACCCGCCCAAGAAGAGAGCAGCTCAAGGGGAAGTGCAGTAGCACACAACTCAAACCAAGGTGCACCCTGCTTCTGTCCCAGGGAGGGAGGGAAGGCAAACCAGGAAGATCTCCCACACATGCATGGACCCCTCTCTTGCTCACCCCGCTCGGGCATTCTGCAACACACACTCCTCACACACTTAAACACATCCCTCTCACACTCCCCTCTCTGTCCCGGCTCTTGCATTTGTACACACCCGTGCATTCCCTGGCAATCACACACCTCTTTTGAACACCGGCTGTGGAGGACATTAGCTGCAGCGTGTCAGAACATGACTTGGGAGGGGGCATCTCTGTGTTTTCATTTCACTGCCTTCCCTTGCCCAGGTTTCCTTGGTGAAGGGTAGCAACAGGCTCTGGTCACAGTTTGTGTATGCTGGGCTTGTTGCTTCTTACCTCATAGCAGGAACAGCAGGGGCCATGATACTGCGCTCGGGAAGCTGTCTCGGGGCTTGTTTTACTGCAGCGTTGGTTTCTTCTGCCTGAACGCTGCTGTTAACTAAAGTGATTTCCAGAGTGAATTCTGTGCTGTCGATGGGCACCCGGCTGCAGGACAGTCCTGGAGCATGAAACGCTTGGATTATCTTCAGCAACTGTGCAACTTCTCCTGCAAACCACCCCTGTGCCTGCTGCTAGGGCCAGGCAGTAGCTCCCTCTCCAGTCCTCATTTAACCTTTGGAGACCACCAACAAGAGGGCAATCAGTGGCATTTTTGTGATATGGGAGGAAGTGCCAGAGACCCCTCCTCAACCATTTCATGGGATAAGCACATATCTGGGCTGGATTTGAACCAGTAACCCAATAGTGAAAAATTCGACAGCCCATTACCAGATCCCTCAACCAGCCAGCAAACTGAGAAAGCAGCTTTGTCACACTGTATAAGGATGGGCCATGAGCTACACAGCTGGTCCCGCAGGGGCTGATTGATGTCTCCTGTAGCAGCAGTAGCATAGTATGTGTGGAGGGGGCAGGTCCGGGGGAGGGGGCACAGACTATTTTCCTTTAGAGGAAGTACACCATGGCATCCAAAGGCTGCCGCACATCAACACTAGTCCTTGCTACACTCAAGCTGGTGAGAGAATCATTGTAGGGGATTATTTAATTATTTAAGGATGGCCTAGTGGTGTGAGCACAGGCCTGGAAGCTGGGCGATCTGGTTCTCTGCCTCACCCTTGCTGTGTGAATCCAGGCAGTTTACATCACCGTTCTGTGCCTCGGTGTCCCCATGTGCAGAATGGGGATAAAAGATCCCATCCTGCTTTGGAAGGGTGATGTGAGGCTTAATTAGTGTCTCTTTGTCCGGTGCTGTGAGATCATAGGTGGTACCAGCTGTCCTAGGGGAAGGGATTGGGTTGGAGGCAGCTCTCTACATAATCAGGTCCTATCTTTCTGTGAATGAAATCCCATTGGCATAGCAGGGGGGGGTTGCTCTTTAAAGCTCCAAGCACCAGCTGGCCTTCATTGTGCATTTGCTGCTGCGCAAAGGCTCTCCGTTTATAACCCAGGATCTCCTGGATTTCAGATCCTGGCCAGCTCCAACCGCCCCCCCTCAGAAATTGTCTGGGCCTGCACTCGCCAATCCTTGCCCTTCTGTGCCAGCTGAGGTGCCCAGAATCCCCCCAGCCAGGTCTGACTTGCTTTCAGAGCACAAATGCTGCTAGTGTCGCGGGGATAACTCACAGCATCTTGTTTTTTGCTGTGTGCTGCTGGCATCTGGATCCTCTCTGCAGGGGTGAGGGTAATGCTGTGTTGTGGGAAGGCTAAAGACCTGGCAACAACAGCTAACCCAAATGACAAGCAGCAGAGCTGTAACTTTCTCCTGGTGCCTAGATCCTCTGGTACGTGGGCCCCTGACAAATCCACCATGCTGGCCTGCCCTCCCCCCCCCAGCGCCGGGCGACTTCCCCCCGGCCCCAGCAGAGATTGTATAGCAAATGCTAGAATGATACTTAGCTCTTCTTCCACACACAGATCTAGTGCTCGGGACATATAATTCCCCCTTCACCAGCTGGGGAAATGAGGTGAGGAGACATGCCCGAGGTCATGCAGCCAGTCTGTGGCAGTGAGGAACACAGCTCAGGCCCCTTCAGCCCCACTCCAGTGAGCTTTCCCCTGGAACAGGGTGTCAGAGCCTGAGCCCATATGGCTACACAGCTCTTTCTAGTGCCACTGCACAGGCCTGAAAACCTGGGCTCTGAAACTCTCCGTTGTAGGCTTCTCCTTGCTTTACAGCCATACCCTGTTTGGGTGGAGAACCGAGACAAAGAGGGGTCAAAGAACATTCCCCAGGTCACACAGGGAGCCCATGGCAGGGCATGGAATTGAACCTCAATCTCCTGAGACCCAGTGCCAGACCTTAGCCACAAGAGCATCCATTCTGCTGGACAAGAGCATGGGTGTGGGCATGGTCCACTGCCCCCTGCAGGATGGAATCATATGTGCTCGGACAGCTGCTCACTGAAGGCTGCCCTTAGTAAAGATGCTCCTCTGGTGCTAACACCAATGCCTTTCCAAACAGCCTTATTGTGGTGTCCCAACATTCACTGTTTGGTAAGTAGCCACCTCTTCCTCCTTGCTCTCTGTCCCACCTCAGCACAATGAGGGTGACCTCAATCAGATTCTGAAGCAAAGCATTGTGGGTGATGCTATGGAAATCCCCAGCCAGCTGAGACATTGCCACGGTTGAGTTCCTGCTCTCCCCTCTGCGAACAAGCTCTCCCTGACCCTCTGAGTTCCCTGCTGCCTATAGCACGGCTCACAGCCAGCCCCAGGGAGGGGCAGATGTGTGCAGAGTTGTACCAAGTCTGGCAGACCCCAGGAGAAAGCCCTGTCACAGGGCGCTTGCAACGTAGTCCACACTTCCAAACATAGCCAGGGACATGGTCCCTGCCCTGGGGAGCTGACAAACTGAAAAGCTGAGGGGAGAGGGAAAGGGGTGTAACATGCAGGCCAAGTGATCGCATGGACAGTCACTTGTGCTTGGGAGCTCTATAAAGTCATACACACTGAGCTCTTTGGGGGCAGGGACCACTGCTTTGCTCTGTGTTTGTACAGCACCTAGCACAATGGAGCCAGGGTTCCTTGGTGCTACCGTAATACCCCTAATAAATAATGTACAGTGTCTAGCACAATAGGGCCAGGGCTCCTTGGTGCTAACATAATACCCCTAATAAATAATGTACAGCACCTAGCACAATACACATCATATTAGCAAGAATACCTAAATTACATGCCCAGGTGCACACACACACACACTTCAGCCCTCCTGTGCCCCCACCTGCCTGGAACTCCCTGCATCGGTCCTGGAGTCCTGACTCCTCTCCCAGTGCTTGACCTTTCCTTCTATGGAGGGGAGCAGCTGACTCACGAGGTGGATAAGTGCACTGGATATTGGCTACAGCCACGGCAGGCCTTGTGGGAGGGAGGGGGTTGTTGGGGGGATTTAAAGAAGCCAGCCAGCCTGGATTGGGGGGTGGGGGCTCCATGTATAGGGGGTGGCCTGGAAGGCAGCACGGCCACGGGGGTTGCAGACAAAGAGGGCAATGGGGCATCATGGACGGAGCTGATGAGATGGAGCCTGGGCAGATGAGCAGGGAGGGCAGAGCTCTGGAGCTGGCGATGGAGAAGGGGAGCCAGCAAAAGGATTAGAGGAGTGAGAGTGATGGCAAAGACCAGGACTGACATGGACAGAGTGGGTGGGAATTTAGACTGATGACAGGAGGGGCTGTTTCTGTACAACATGGGTGGGGAATTATCCAGCACAGTGGGTCTCTGTGCTCCTGCAGGGGCAGCCCTCCCCAGGCCCCAAAGAACTCCCCTAGTGGTTCATGAGGCTCCCCTCTGCCCAGCGCCACACAGGACAGCGGGTGCCAGGCAGTGTGTGTGGCAGGCCCACAGGCGTGGCAGCATATGGCGATGCCCCTGACCATGTCTCTGCCTTGCAGTGCGACGATGAGTGCTGGCTCGATCGAGCAGGAGCCGTCGCGCAAGCTGGCCTGCTGCGGAGTGCCCCTGATCACCGAGGACATGCAGTCGCTGGCCATCCGCACCCTCTCCGGCTCCGACATCAACAAGCACTATGACCTCATCCGCGAGCTCGGCAAGGGCACCTACGGCAAGGTGGACCTGGTGTCCCACAAAAGCACAGGTGAGGCCAGCTCGGCTCCTAGTGGCCAGGCCTGGGCATTTGGGCAGGCAGGGCTTGTTGGTAGCTTGGCGAGCCACGGGCTGGGAGCGGCTGGACGGGGAGGGGAGACACGGCTGGAGTGGAGGAACTGAGCAGCCATCTGAAATTCAGCCCAGACCTGTTAGCAGGTCAGGGAGTACAAGGATTCTTGTCCCTCCTGTTTGGCTTGGCGCCTGTCTGCTGCAGGCTGACTGATGCCCACTGGGAGTGGCTCACCTCGGGATATTTCCAGCCATGCCAGCTGCAGGAAGTGTCAGGCTCCTGTACCCCAGCTTAGGTTCAGCTCATGGGGGAGTGAGGAGTTGCTCAGACAGGGACCCCTGAAGCAGGCTGGGTCTCGACTCGTTATTGCCACATCCCCAGTCTAAGTCAAAGGGTATTGCTTGCAGAAATTGTACTTGCATGAGGGGTGCACTCCCCAACCCACAGCCAGGGGGCATCCAGCTACTGGGAGAGTAGCAGGTATGGCCTGTTGCTTGCCTCTTACCAGGGCCTGACAGGGATCCGCTCTGTGTGCCATTCCACTGGCTTTTCCCTGACACACCCACAGTCCTCTGCCCCCGGTGAGCTGACAGGATAGGCATGGAGGTCTCCATGGTGGGCTGAGGCTGGGGCGGTCCCTTCTGTACAGCTCCCAGTGGACCAGGCTTGCTGCTTTGAGGCTGTTCTGTAGTTCTGGGTTGGGGGGGGCAAAGCCCTTTGGGGAGGATGCCAGGTGCTCCTGTTAGTGTCCCTGCCCAGCTACTGGCCCCAGCCCCAGCAGAGCTGGTCAGGAATTTTTCAATGAAATGGTTTTCATCCAAACGGACACGTTTCCTGGGAAAGGGGCGTCGTCAATGAACTTCTCCACTCAAAACATTTTTGAAAAAAGAGTGTCAAACTCAACATGAAAAATTCTACCTTTCTGGTTCAAAACAACTTTTTGTTTAGAAATTTAAGCTAACAAGAGTTAAAAAGGTCTTGAAAAAATTGACAAAATGGGAATGAAACGATTCCACTGACCCGAATCAATTTTTTCCCCCAGACTTTCAGTTTGAACATTTTTTTGAGATTTCAACTCTTTGTTCTGATTTGGGATGGGAACATTTTTTAAAATCTTGAAAACGGACAGGAAAATCTCAGTCCTTGTGCTCAAAGGCCAGTGTCTCCTGCCCAGGCCTCTCCAGAGGTCCAGTGGGTGTGGGCCAGGTCATGACAAGCGCCACGTAGAGCTGGGTTGGTAGGGAGAGCAGCACCTGCTGGGACCTCACTGCTTGGATGGGTGGGGCCTGAGTCGGGGACCATGAATTTGGGAGCTCTTGTGGGAGCGTTGTGTCCCCCCCAAACTCCTCACTGGTCTGGGAGGAGCCCTATGTTGCTGAGCCTTCTCCTGAGCCTTTTCCCCTGTAGGCACCAAAATGGCGCTGAAGTTCGTGAACAAGAGCAAGACGAAGCTGAAGAACTTCCTGCGGGAGTTCAGCATCACCAACACGCTCTCCTCCAGCCCCTTCATCATCAAGGTCTTCGACGTGGTCTTTGAGACTGAGGATTGCTATGTCTTCGCTCAGGAGTATGCGCCTGGCGGGGACCTCTTTGACATAATTCCGCCACAGGTACCAGCTAGGAAGCTTCCCTAGGCTACCTCTCTCCTGCCCCCATGGAGTCTGAGCTTTAACACCCATGGCCCTCAACTGGGGCTGCCCCAGCTCCCCTGCACAACAGACCCCTTTCCTACACGAGAAGACCACCTTCTCCATTGACCCCCGTCCTACCTCTGCTACTCAGAGACCTAAAGGCAGACTCTGTCCTCCAGCTGTGATCTCATGTGCTAAGCAAGGGTGCTGACTGGAGCCAGCAGATCAGGCTCAGGCCTGGCGGGTGCCTGAGTGCAATACTGCCACAGGAAAGCCCTGACATTCCCGTCTGAGAGCACCTGGGCCTGGTTCTCCTCTTGCTAGCACCTTGTGGGTCCTTTCTACTTGGGCAAGGTGAGAGTGAGTGGAGAGTTCTGAATTGGGAGCATCCCGAGTGTTAGTGGCTCCCGCATATACAGGGTGTTCAGTAGGTGGCACTCTTGCCCCCGACTCTGCAATCAGACCTCACCCCTGGGGGCAGCATGCCTTCAGATGAGACAAAGCTGAGCCCCTGGCCACTTGTGTCCTGTTAATGAGCCTGTAGCAATTTTCACAAGAGCAGGGCTGTTAAATACTAACTGGGGTCACTACAACCTTCCTGCTTATGCTTGCCCTGCAGTTGCAACTGGGTGCATTATGCATCACTTCCTGTCCTAAACCCTTGCCTAATGATGCTGTGCGCTGTTAAACTGCTGGCATGTCCCACCCCAGAGGGGGCCGCATTTCAGTGGCGGGTGAAGTGATTTGCAAAGTGCTTTGGGATCCTGAAAGGTGCTAGATGAAGATAAGAAATTAATGACTATGATTCATTATCCTTATGAAAGTAGGGAGGGTTCAACAGTGACCAGGGGTTCATAGCCACCTCCTGGGGCGAGCTAGCCCAATGGCACATATAGTACTGCTTGCTCTGATCATAAAACATTTCCCCTCTCTGCACTGAAGGAACAAGGCATGGGGGGGAGGAGGAATAAGCAGACAGAACTGAGAGAGAACCAAGGAGAAAGGATGACCAAAGAGTAGAAAGAGATCTCCCCAAATATAATTAGACATAATTGAATTGGAAGTGTAATGAAATCGTAATGTAAAGCAAATAAAGGAAAATGTGATTATACAGCTTCAGCAGGTGCTTTAGCAAATACAAGAGACAGGGTGTATGTGTGGGGGAGTGGTGGGGGAGGGAGGTGAGTCCTTGAAATGCCCTCTCCTTTGTGACCCAGGATATTCTAGCCCCTGTGTGCCCCTCACCAGTCTGACCTTTGGAAGGCTGGCATTGGTGTCTGCAATTGGCCCAGGGATTCATACTAGCCTGGGTTCTGGCTAAGATCTCCCCTGGGGGATGCATTCTGGACTGGTTCCACCAGGCCTGCACTGGTCTCCAAGGTAGTGGTGAGCGGTAAGGACCTTGCCCCCTGGAGAAGAAGGGCAACTGTATCCCCACCCCTGCTGAACTCAACAGCCCTGCCCGAGTGGCTGGCAGTTCTTAACCAGCCACCTGATCACCTCTCAAGCCCTTGGTGTGTGGGAGGGAGGGAAACAGTTTGTTGGCTGCTATTTCAGGATGATGATGGTTTCCAAATTTCCGCCCAGCTTCTGCATTGCACATGGATAGGGACCCAAGGCAATGCTCATCAGAGACACTAGAGGTAGAGAAGGCCTTTTAAGTCACCTAGTCCATCCCCTCCCGACCCAGTGGCCAGTGTAGGGTTGTTCTCCAGGACCTTGGTCCCCCGGACCTCTCTGCCTTAGATATTTCTCCTGAAGCTCAGCCTAGACTTCCCTTTTGTCAGTCTCCTCCCTCTTACCCTGTCCAACCCCAGAGCACCCTAAGCAATTCCTCTCCCTGCTCCCACATGAACACCATGACCTCCTCTCCTCCCTTTCACACTGCCTCGGCCAAGCACCCTTCATATCTCTTCCTCAGCCAGCCCTTCCAGCTCCATCAGTCTTCTCAGCCATCTTCCTCCGGGCCCAGGGGATGCTCAACCCCGGCTCCACCCCAGACCTTGCTCCCACCCCACCCCTTCCCCCAAGCCTCCACCCCCACCCCGCCTCTTCCCGCCCCTGCCCCTTCCCCGCCTCTTCCCACACAGTTCTGCCTCCTCCCTCCAGCGTGCCCCATCCCTACTCCACCCTCTCCCTCCCAGCGCCTCCTGCACGATGCGATTCAGTGAAACAGATGATTGCGGCAGGCAGGAGGCACTGGGAGGGAGGGGGAGGCGCTGATGGGTGGGACAGCAGGCAGGTGGGAGGCGCTGTGAGGGGGAGCTGGCTGCCAGTGGGTGCTGAGCACCCACTAATTTTTTTCCATGGATGTTCCAGCCTTGGAGAACGCATGGAGTCGACGCCTCTGCCTCCTCCCAGGGTGTCGTGGTCTGTTGGGGATTAACAGGCACTAGAGAGAGACCCGAGAGGAGGAGAAGCTGAGGTGGATCTCCACTCATTTGCACTGGACTTGGCCTCTCTCAGGGAGAAGGTCCTCAACTGAGATCCTGCTGCCAATTGACTTCTGGGTCCAGCCCTGGGAGCAGGGGACCTTACCTGGGATTGGGGGGTGACAGTGGATGGGGGATGTGCCTGTAGAGGAGAGCCACGGCTCCATGTCATGGAGCAGGGAGGCTGAGCAGAATGTCCATGGTGCGGCCAGGTCTGGGCAGCTCGTTACCAGATACTGACCAGAGAAGAGCCACAAAGCTGTTTGGGGGGCAGGAAGGGCCCACTCTGGGACAGACCTCGGGGCGGGCAGTCATCCCCGCAGCGACCAGGAGCATGGGCATGTGCCATTTCGGAGTGACACACTTCCATCTGTGCGAGGCCACGTGGAGGCCTGGGGAAGGAGGAGCTTAAGCACTGATAAAGGAATTATAGTAGGACCTCCTTAATTCAAGCTCCTAAGGGGAGAGTCTTTGTGTGACCTGAAATGTGCCAACAGGACGTGTCTGTGATGGGGCCCATACACCTTGTGAGGAGCCTGGCAGTCAGGGACAGTCCCCAGGAGAGCCAACCTGCTGTTAATCCATTCGCTTCTGTAGTTCTGTGGCTAAACCCCCAGTGCCTGCCTGTCCAACTCCACATGTGCTGGGTCGCAGCAGTGATGTGGAAATGCCCCCCCCGGCACCCCCATCCCCGTGCCCATTGCTAATGCACTGTGTCTGCCCTTGCAGGTGGGCCTCCCTGAGGACATGGTGAAGCGCTGTGTGCAGCAGCTGGGCCTGGCCCTGGACTACGTGCACAGCAAGAACCTGGTGCACCGGGACATCAAGCCGGAGAACGTGCTGCTCTTTGACCGCGACTGCCGCCGGGTCAAGCTGGCCGATTTCGGCATGACCCGCAAGGTGGGCTGCCGGGTGAAGCGCATCAGCGGCACCATACCCTACACGGCGCCCGAGGTATGCCAGGCCGGCCGGGCCGAGGGCTTCGCGGTGGACACCAGCATCGACGTGTGGGCCTTCGGGGTGCTCATCTTCTGCGTCCTGACCGGCAACTTCCCCTGGGAGGCAGCCGCTGCCTCGGACACCTTCTTTGAGGAATTTGTGCGGTGGCAGAAGGGGCGCCTGGCAGGCCTGCCATCCCAATGGCGGCGCTTCACAGACAATGCCCTGCGCATGTTCCAGCGTCTCCTGGCCCTGGACCCCGAGAAGCGCTGCCCCGTCAAGGAGGTCTTCTACTTCATCAAGTACGACCTGATGTCGGAGGTGCGCCGCCGGCCCTCCTACCGCTCCCGCAAGCATGCCGGAGATAAGCTCTCCGCCGGCCCCCATCGCCATGAGACGCCCAGCTCCTGCACCCCCACCCCGCTCAAGAGAACCATCCTGACGGAAGGCAGCGGCCCCCGGCTCTCCGCCTCCGAGCCAGGCCTGTCCTCCCCGGGGGGAGCTAGCCGGACGGACGGGCGGCAGGACAAAGGCAAAGGGCAGATGGTCTTGGCCACAGCAATAGAAATTTGTGTCTGATGAGGGCTCAGCGGGAATGAGGGGGCAGCTGGTCATCATGACGCTGCTCCGCTCTGTACAGCCTGCAACAATGATGTCAGCACCCCTGCCTCCCCGCCCCACTGGCGAATGGGGTTCAGGGGGGAGGGGATTCCTTTTTTGTGTGAAAAGGGACCAGGAGCCATGTCTCCCGAAGCAAAAAATACTCACACTGCTAGTACTCACTGATACCGAGGCTGCGACGTATAGCTAACCCCTGGAGGAAAGGCCAGAGTGCAGACATAGAGCCAGGCAGAAAGGCCCCGGCTTGGTGGCCGGGAAGGACCCTGTGTGGCATGGTGGCCCCTCCCCTCACGTCTTCCATGATTGGGCTGGGGGCTGCTTCCCCGGGCACTCTGCACTGCGCCCCCCCTTTGTCAGTGGGGCATGGGAGGAGCTCTGAGGCTCTTCCCATTGTTGGGGGTGGGCAGGGACTTTCACAGGGATGATAGCGGGAAGACACAGGGGTGCGGGAAGGAGGGAATCGGCACCCAGTCTTGGACAAACGGATGGGTGACCATCTTGTGAGCAGCAGGGGCTCAGCAGGGATGTCACAGCCATCGGGCGTGTGGGTGGGGTGGGGGGTAGGATGGTGGGGGGGTGGTTTGTAGTTAATAAGCAACAAGGCTGCAGCAGGTGTGTGGTTCTGGGGGTCACCGGGAACCCCTATCACTGTCAAGGCTTGATGTGCGAATTGGTGCATTGTTCCCTGGGGCAGGGTGGGTGCTGGGGCTCTGAGCAGGGCTCTTGCTACAGGATACCGGTAAGAGAGCATGGGGCCAGCACTGTCCAGCGGGCACTGCAGCAGCTTTGCCCTCCACAGCTGCCCGCTGTCGCTCTTTCGTTGGCTCTTTGTGTCTGTGCTCAGGCCCGGGGGCCCTCCTGTGATTTCCCTGGGGGGAAGGGGCGGGGGGGCTGGCAGGGTGGACTCGTGGGGTTTGAGGGGAAGGCTCATGAGCCCAGTCTGTGGAGGAGGCCTTTGGAGAGATTGTGGGGAGCAGCGTGCACCAGCCTGTTTAATGCCAAGCAGGCTGGGGTCTGCCCCTTTTGCCTCATCCTTGTCCCCCACTGCCATCCTGCTTGGAGGGTGGCCTGTGGTGGGGAGCAGGAGATAAAGAGGAAACCAATAAGCCTGGTTGAGCCACTGACCCTGTCTGTAAAGGGGGTGTTCTCAGGGCCAGTTCTCTGACAGCCTGAGCCCAGCCATGCCCAGGGCACTTCCCCCAGGGGTGGGGACTCGGGCAGCCCCAGCTCCTGCTGGTCCCCTCCTTGCTGAGGGATCCTGAGGGAATGCCTCTCCCTGCCAGTGGGGGAAGCAAGTGCTAAATGTAGCAAATGTCGGTGTGTTCCATGTGTCACTGTGTGTCGGGCCGGCTGGGCCCGGCTGTTGTCACCATCACCCTTCCCAGGGAACAGCCTCTCCCTGTCCCTGACCCCAGTGGGTCAGCTGGGCACTGGGACCCATATGGGGAGCAAGGGGGCATAGAGCATGATGTCTTGTGAGGAGCAGAGATCTAACCCATTTGGTTTTAACTGGAGGGACGTGGGCAGCAGGAGAGCCGCCATCAGGCTCCGGATCCCCTGCTCCGTGGGGTTTCTTGTGGCTGCAGTGGTTAGAAAGGCTCTCATCAGCATGCAGTGCCAGGCCATATGGGGCTGGGGCTTGGATGGCAGGGGCCTGGGAAGGGATGCTCACAGATACCCCTGATGAGCTTGGCCTGGCACCTGCTTCCTGGGCTGGACGGCTCTTGCTTGCCGTCAATGGGATTCCCTGGGGAGGAGGTGCATGCTGGTGGAAGGCGTAGGAGACAGGTGAGGTCAGCCTGAAAAAACCAGCTGGCGGGGTTGCCCAAGGCAAACCAGTAGGCATTGGCGTGGGGGTTGGCACAGCACCCACTGCTTAGATGGATGCATTGGAGCCAAACCCCAAGTGGTGGCCAGAAAGGAAAGCTATTAACTGCCCACAAAGTCTGGCCAGTTGCCACGACAAGCTGAAGGCAACAGGGGGTGCTGGAGAGAAGAGATGGAAGGCAGTGGTGCTGTCGGGGCAGGCAAGAGCCCTGTGTCCAGGGTGCTCTGGATGACTCACCGTGCACTGCAGCCATACTGCACTGAGAGCGGCATGAAGGGCTGGGTGGGGCTGCAGGGAGGCAATGCCCTGGGTATGCCAGGCGCTGCTGTAACATGTGCCCCTGGGGAGATGGGCTTTGCTGCTGAGCTTCCCTGGCCTCTAGAATGCCTCCACTTAGACCCAGCCCACACCCGAGCTGCTGGCCAGCTCCCAGCCCTAACCCTCCGTGCCCCACCAGCTCCACAGTGCGCCCTGTTCAGCCACTGTGATACTCTGTGCCAGCTCGCTCTCCCCTAGCCAGGGCACCGCTGGGAGCCCACTCACTGCCAACAGATGCCCATGGCAAGGCGGTTTGATGGAGGCACAGACATATCTAGGGCGGTAGCTTCAGTGGCTTGGGAACACGCAGGTGGAAATGACCCTCCCACCCCCAACATTGTCACCTCTTAACGTGAGCCTTCCACAGCCATGGGCTGAGTGGGGCAGCTGGCTGTGTTTCCCTGGCGTGCTGGAGCCTGCTAGCACCCCACCTGCCCAAAGCCTGTATGTAGCCCAGTGATGGGAGTTGAGCTTCATCTCCCAGCTGTGCTCAGCTGTTCTCTAGCTGTGGGATCAACCCGCCCAAGTACCTGCATTAGTGGGCTGTGTTGTGACAGGAGCAGGAGTTTGAGTGGCATCTGCTGATTCAGTTGGTCCCAGCTCGGTCACTGGCAGGCAAGGTTTGCAAACCTCAGTGTGGCCAAAGGATGGTGGGGAGTCCCCAGTCCCATGGTAGTGGCAGGGTGCCACCGGCAGGCCCAGGGCAACTGCACTGCCAGAGCATACCGGGAGACTGACCTGTGACAAGCAGGGTCGCACTGAGATGGGAGGGTGCAGGTAGGAGGTGTCTGAGAGCTGGGAGATGTTTGTGCATGTAATGGGAGGTATGTATGTGATGGGAGAGGTGTGTGTGTGAGAGAGAGAGAGAAACGTGTGAGGTTGGAGTATGTGTGAGAGAGACAGAGAGGTGTGTGTGTGAGTGAGAAAGATGGGAGGGTGAAGAGAGGGAGAGGATGTGAGGTGTGTGTGTGGGAGATGGGAGGTGTGTGTGAGAGAGAGATGGGAGGGGTGTGTGTGTGTGAGAGAGACAGGAGGGTGTGTGTGAGAGAGATGGGCATGTATGTGAGCGAGAAAGAGATGGGCAGGTGTGTGTGCATGAGAGAGATGGGTGTGTGTGAGAAATGGGAGGGTGTGTGTGTGAGACACAGGACAGAGAGGTGGTGTGTGTGTGTGTAAGAGAGAGAGAGAGAGATGGGAGGGTGTGTGTGTGTGTGTGAACGAGAGGTGGACATGTGTGTGTGTGAGAGATGGGTGGGTGGGTGTGAGGGGGAGGGATGGATATAAGCACTTCTCTGATCTGTTGTTGAATCAGACTTGGAGGCCAGAGTTGCCTTCACAATGGGCAAGTTGGGGAAGGGCCTTAGCAGGTCCAATCAGTAACTAACCACCCCAGGGATGCATAGGGAACCTGCCTGGCTGGTTCTGGAGCAAGGGGGCTGAATGCCCAGCCCAGAGCCTTGGTGAGGGATCGAATTAACACAGTGTGGGTGCTTCAGAGCCAGAGAGGTCCTGTAGGCGTTGGGGGGGTCCGGGGGGAGGGGCAGGAAAGCAGTTCATTGCAGAGTCCTAGGCCGTACACAAACATGGGTCCCAGGCCCTGAGGGGGTGTCTGGGGCTTCTGCCAGGAGGTGTCCACAGGGTCAGCTCAGCTGCCTACCACAGACTCACGTCTGCTGTCTCCCAGCTCCGGCCCCGAGCAGAGGGTCCTCAGGATACTGGAAGAACAAGGCATATGGGCTCTTTCCCAATCAAGGGCATGCACCAAAGGGATTTCCTCCTGAGCTCAGGGACTATAGGTCCCTGCCATCCCACAGTGGGGCTTCACTTGCCCCCATGACCTCCCATGCACCTACCCCACCTGCACCTCAGGGCAGATCTTCCCTGCAGAGCTAACACTGGCGACAGACGGGGTGTTCTCACTGCCCAGACTCTCCTAGCCCGGTGTGAACAGCCACTGCAAAGCCAGATGCAGCTACGTCTGGTGCTGCGCTCGCTGTATGTGTCGGTAGGGCTTCTGCGGTGGCCCATCCCATGGTGCTTTGCACTGCAGCGAGCTGAGCCACTGTCTATGATGCTTTCCCAGTGAATTGTGGGGAACCTGTCTGCCCTTCTGGGCACATGAGGGGAAGGGGGTGGGATGGTCGTTGGAGGACTAGCAGAACATGAGTGGTTTAGCTGCAGTCCTCACTGCAAAGTGGGCGGGTTACCAGTCCAAGCATAATCAGCACCCAGGTTTTAGCTTATAGCCCAGGCCAGCTAGCCCAACTGTAAAGCACCATCAGGCTTGTGTGGGGAAGGGCGGGTGAGGCGAGTAGGTGCCTGGGTTAGCACTGCAGCAAAGACAGACCCCTGTCGAGCATCTGGCTTGTCCCCCTTGCCTGTGGCTTGCAGTGTGGGCACAAACAGGGTCAGTCCTGCCACCCGGCTGGCTGAGGGCTGGACACTGTTGGGGCTTTAGTGGCACAGAGCTGTGCTGTCCACCCTTCTGTCCCCCCCTCCCTGCCCTGTCCCAGACTCCCCAGGGCTGGCTGCACTCCCCAGGGGCTGTAGCAGGGGCCATTTCAGGGGAGGGGAGTTGGACTGGCTGAGTGGAGGTGTTGCTCTGGCAAGCAGCTCCCGCCACCCCAGCCCCGGCCTCTGGGCACGGCCCAACTCACTCAGCACTGCACAAAGGGCTATCATGCTATTAAGCAGCAACAGCAGTTTACAAACAGACACCAGGAGGGCAGGCACAGTCCAAGCCCCCCACCTAATACGCAGGGGGCACCTGACAGCCAGTGCCACCGGACTTCAGCAGAAAGCGAGGGTGTGTCTTCTTATAACCATTGCCGGCCACAGCACACACCCAACCCTGGCCTCCTTCCCCACCACTGCTAGAGCACCATGGTGACTCCAGAACCTCTGGGTACAGTATCCAAGGGGCACCATGTCTGATAGCCCATTGCTCCGTCCCTTGGCAGGACTGATCCACTCAAACAACTACCTATCCATGGTGAGGAAGGGACAGCATCTGAGAGGCTTCTCCCACCCTTCAGACTAGCAGCCTGCTGACCCCTGGATCTTCCTTTGTGTCACCAATCCCGTCCATCTGTCCTCTTCCCGCATCCCCACCATTACAACACCCAGCGTCGCCCCTCCTTCTCAGCAGTCCACGTTTTGGGGGAATGCAACCTGTTTGCCCTCCTGTTTAGGTGTCACCCCGTGCTTTGGGGAAGACCAGGGCTCGAGTATTTTTTAGAGGTAGCATTGCACAGATTTAGATAATAGAGCCGCAATTTCTCCTTTTTGCCTTAGGTCCCTCAATGTCCTTGATCTTTCGTGCAATAATGTAGATAAGGAATAAGAACACCACATAGAACTTTTTTTATTTTTCCGGTTGGTTTGTTGATTTTCAGGGTGTGCGTGAGA